AAAAAAATTTTTAAGAGTTTAAAAACAGATTACTAGAAGTAAACTTATATTTTAAAATAAAATTTTGTACTTTCTATGAATATTTTTCTAATCAAGTATTTCATAGAAAATACCCAAAATTTTAAACAAAATTTAAATCACTAACAAACATCAAATTAAATTATTTGTAGACAGTCTAGAAACATTTAAATTTATATCAAACATTATAATCTTTATGAACCCCCAAAATAACAAATTCAAAGTAAAGCAAAATAACAGCGTCTGTTTCTAGCCTTTTTTTTACAAAGAAAATTAGTGACATCTTCTCTTCTCTTCTCTCTTAACTTCCTTCCCTCTTTTTCTCTCTATGAGTTTTTTCTTCTCTACCCCTTCGATATCAATATATAACTTCCGTTAAGTTAACCGTTTAAATGTGTCAATGTCTGCTAACTCACTTATGTCTTCTCTCTCCTTCCCTCACTTCCTCACTTCGTTAATTTACATATGTTTAATACGGCCCGTCAAAAATGTGTAAATTTTCTTTTCATTTTTTGTTTGGAAGTAAAGTCTGATGATCCGCAGTCCTTTTAAAAGGGCTGTGGTGAAATAATTTATTACATGGAACCTTAAAGTGGTCTGTTTTTATTTAAATTATTTGCTCTGGATTTACATTGAGCTCTCTGGATTTTATCCTCCTTAGGTTTACCATACGGATTACCTAGTTTTCATAAACTATATATATATATATATATATATATATATATATGTGTGTGTTTGGTTGAATAATTTAAACATAAAATTAGGAAAACTGATTAAGGAAAATACCAAAATATTCTTTCGAATAGTTTTTATTTTCAGAATGGTTCCCAGAGGTTAAGTTGTCTGTGAGGATGTATTTGTGTTTCTGTAAATTCAGAATATTTCAACTGTACGTTTTTTACTGCTGAAAGTATATGAGAAAAATTGTTGTATATTTTTTATTTAGTTGATATATAGGAGCAGATTATAGGATGCGTAAGAAAAATTTTTTTTCCGATTGTTACTGGAATCTTCGTCAGTAATTGGTAGTGAACTTAATTTTTGCATGTTTTTCTTTTTTAAGATGGAAATAAACCAGGTTATATCATTAATGGAAAATTGTTACAATTGGACATCAATTAAAAATTCGTCCTGATAGTAACTTAAAAAATCTTTAAAAATAAATAAATAAAAATAAAATATGCTGATAAAGTAAATAATTCAAATAAAAAAGAAGGCAATGTGTATTTTCATATATATATATATATATATATATATATATATATATTGAAATGGACAAAGTCCGACAATTATTTGTAAGAGAATTTTTTTATGTTTATACGTTCTTTTTATACAGGTTCGATTCCTGTCGGAGGACGCATATTTTCTATGAAAATTTTTAGAACATTCAGGCCAGTAAATGTTAATACTGTTAATTATAAACAGAGCATTTACCTAAATATTTGTATCTATAAAAAGAATGTATAAACATAAAAAATGTCGTAAACACACACACACACACACACACATGCATATACATATACATATATATATATATATATACTTATATATTTATATATATATATCCATATATATATATATATATATATAGAAAAAGTTTCAAATTAAAAATTATAATGTTTTATTTTATGAAAGTGTTTATTTATTTATATATATATTTGATATTTCAAATTCTCCTCAATTTTTCATCAGAAATAACTGTTTGCTACAAATAAATTAAAATTACTGTTTGTTAGCAAGTAGCGTCCTTCGCGAGACGCGGACGTCACGTGATATGGAACGTCACTGTTCGGATTTTCCTAACTTAAATCTAACTGTCATAAATATTTAAAAAAATATTTTTTACTATATCTAAAGAAATACCCATAACGTACGCTATTATTTATTCTGCAACTTATGTCCTAATAGTGGATATATTGGTGAGTCTGGAAACAATTTTAGATTTCGTTTTAATAACCATAAACAAACAATACGTCAAAACAACCCTTATTCCCCCATAGCTAAACACTACAATCAATCAGGACACATTAGAAAACTGCAAATGTTTATTAATAGATTCCGATTTTACTTCCACATTCACACGCAGAAAAAAAGAAACATATTGGATTTTAAAATTAAATACACATAAATTAGGGTTGAATAGGGACTTAGGTGTTTTAAATCTTTATAAATATTTCAATAGTTAAGCAATTTCTTTAAATATTAAGAAAGTATACGTGGCTTCTCATTATGCTATATATATATATATATATATATAGATATATATCGACATACAAAATAAATATTTAGATAGGTAACGGTTTATATGAGGATATGTTTTTATAATTCTGCTCGAGGCATCTTTAGTTAGCACGACCGTTACGCCCTGCGACGGTTACGTTTTTATACTTTCCTTGTTGGCCTTCAGGCTTGTATAAAAGAAGGATTGCTGCCCAAATATGCAATCATTAAATTACTGACCGGGCAATCAACAAAGAAATAAAAAAAATATGACTATAGTACTTTGTCAGTCGTTTTTATTGAGAGCGAAAGTGACAAGGGCGGGGAATGCATACATATATTCGTATACTAACATATATTTCTAGTGACTTCGGTATACCTGAAAAAAATAAAAAATATATATATATATATATATATATATATATATATAGTCGAGTCGAATCTCCGTCGAGATTCGACGTATGAGGGTCAAACAGATCAGTTTCAGGAAATCGACAGCCCGACACCGGCACATGAGATTTGATTATAGTGGTGAAGGCTTCGTGCAGGACCATCCACACTTTTGAAGGGACGAATCCAGAGACCTGGTGCACCGAGTGCCACAAGATTCCCAAACGACCCTCCGCAGGTTTTGAATACAGAGTTGTCCTTCTCGTAGACCAGTTGCCATCCAAGGCTATAGAACCCAGGCACGGTGGAGTAATAGATAGCGGCTTGGATTGAGGAATCGCAGAGCAGAGTTCGAATTCCAGTCGAATCCATTACATTCACTTACGTGCTAATACCCTTGGGAAAGGTATGAATCCTCTTCGTCTCTCTCCAGCTATGGCTAAAATAGCAGGATATATATATATATATATATATATATATATATATATATATATATATATGACCAACAACGTTTCAAAGTGAATCTTTAAACTGATCTTTTCATCAAATATGGTGTTGGTGGTATCGAATCCTTTCTGATGCAATCACAGTTCAGATGGGCTGGTCATGTCATCAGAAGAAGTGATGATCGGATGCCGAAAATGCTCATGTATTGCCAACTGTTTCATAGTAAGCGTAATGTAGATCATGCGCTTCAACGATGAAGTTAAACACAATTTAAACGCTGCAAGCATCCTTATAGAGGTGTTCGAATTTGCATTTGAAAACCGAGCAAACTGAAGAAATACCTTCTACCGAGGTATAACTAACTTTGAAAAGAATCGTTTCAGCCATCTGAGGGAATTAAGACTTAACACTAAATCTCAGGCTAATACACCAGACCAGATGACGGTGAACATTTCAGCATGTCCCTCGTGGGGACTTGTTAACAAATCCCGTGCAGAATTCTTGTCTAATACGAAACATAAACATAAAAACTGAACTGAAAAACATCATACGTCGAAAACGACGGAAGAGTCCATCATATATGTATAAATGGAGTCTTATAGATGGAGGAAGAAAATAAATTGGAGTATTTTAAGATACCGTTTGAAACTTTGCCAGAAACATACATACATACATACATACATACATATAGGGCGGGGGTTAGAGAATGACAAAATCTTTGCAAGAAATTTAATTCGGAATTGGTTTCTTGTATCTTTTCGATGCGTATCTGTTACACTCTCTCTCACAGACACACACACAAAGATGCACTTACATATACATCTACACACATACGTGTATATATATATATATATATATATATATATATATATATATATATATCCTCGAGGACTCATAGCACAGTGGATAAAGGCGTTAGTTAGATCCAGTGACAGGGCCCAATACCCGGTTAAGATAGTGGAGAACTTGGAGAGGGGAATTAACAGGGGATAACTGATATCCATTAAACATGGCACGTGGAACTAGAACAGTCAACCCCAGTGAGCGAAATAAAGGGTTCAGTCCGACATTCCTACCACCTGAAAAAGCCCGGAGCGTACAACGGCCGAAACGTTGTAACAAATAAGGCGACAAAGATGTGAACAATAGTCAGAATAATGTAAATAGTGTGCATAATACCTCATCTCAGAAATATTAACAGATACTGAGAAAAATGTAAATAAATAAATAAATGAATACATCGCATTCTTTTTTTTTTACTCTTTCCGAATAACCATCACACACGACGCCACTATTGACTATTTTAAACTTCCAGCTTCCCAAAGAATACCAGGATGTAGACAAAAGAATTCTCTCTACAACATTCTCGAAAATGAATGCGAAAGACGAAATTACTTGAATAAGTATAAACAAATGTAAACTCCAGACAGTTTATCCGCAACTTTGAACACAGTACTCAACACGTTATCCGAAAATTGGAAAATTAAAACTTGACGGTTCTTTTTAATCAAAATTGTTTGATGTTCCTGCTTAAATATACCTCATATATATATATATATATATATATATATATATATATATATATATATATATATATATATATATATACTCACACATATATATGTAGTTTTGCATTCTGTTAAATACACACATATACAAACAGCCATATATTCAAGTATATAATTATGCATTACACATATTCCGAAACTTATATGAATACTTTACCCACGAAAGAATAGTTTTCTTCCATTTATTAAAACATAAAAAAGACAATATTAGAAGCTTTGTAAAATGGTGGCTTTCTAGATGTACGCAAAAAATGAATTGGATGCACAAATTTCTATTTTTTATTTTTGTAGTGTTTGCATTATTGGGGAAATATTTGTTTTTTTTTCTTGTAACGAAGAAGAGAGTGGGTGTTAGGA